ATTATTTCCTTTTATTTTTTTATTAATAGTTTGCTAGTTGTGTCTTTTTTCTTTTCATTATTGTGTGTTACTTTTATTTGGATTTTAGTGTTTAATTTACTTCTCTAAGCATGAAACAATTTTGTGGATATAAAAAAAACCAAAGAAAGAAAAGAAAAGAAGCAATTGCCAAAAGTTTAGAGTATTCTTTGAATAGATATTTTCGTCCCGCAATTTTAGTTCGTAATCAACAAAATAATTTTGATGCAAATGAAGAATTATTAAATAACGAAGGTGACATAAATGTTGAATTTGTTGAAAATGGGAATGTTGTGAATGTTGAATTTGTTGAAAATATGAATGCGGTGAATGCGGAATTAGTAGAAAATGAGAATGATGTGAATGCGAAATTAGTAGAAAATGAGAATGTTATGAATGAAAATGAGAATGCTTTGAATGTGGAATTAGCAGAAAATGAGAATGATGTCAATGAAAATGAAGAAAATAAACATATTGGTTTTTCTTGCAATATTGAACATGAGAATGAAAGTGCAACTCAAAAACATTTTCAATGAATTATTTCATTATTTTTTTATTGATGCAGGTGACAGAAGTTGACAATTTTTTGTACAAGATGAAAGCTGATGACGGAAGATTAGGAGAAAAAAACAATTTCTTGATGGGGTGGGAATTCAAACGTTCTTTTTATTTCATTTTGTTTTGTTAAAATTGTAATATTCTGAATTTTTTATATATGCGAGTTTTTGTGCCGTTGAATATTTTTTACACAAGGCTTTAATGAAATTCCAGTTTTTCTTTTATAATTTATTATTATTTTGTAAAAATCATTTATAAAAAAATAAAACTGGGGGCACAATTTATCTTTTTTGCCCCGGGCATTAAAATCGTCAAGGCCGGCCCTGGTTATATCTTATTAACCCTTAATTAAAAGATTGAATTTGGGTTTGTCATTTAGTTCAAATTAAGTTTCCTTTGAGGGGCTCATGGCATATTAACCCTAAAAGTAAATAGTGAACATATTTTTATAAAGTTTTCGGCAACTATGGAAGATGGGCCTTAAATGTGTAATTAGTATAACTGTCGACTGTCGTATTAGACAAAATATTAAAAATTCAAATGCTAAATGTCGTTTCAATTTTGTTAATATCATTTCTACTTATAAATGTGTTTTTGACCATTTTCTATTCTGATTTGACAAAAAAAAAATTAGAGATCTGATTTGACAACATTCAAAACACGAAAATTGTAGTCACTTTAGTTATCTTTTCTTGAATCAGCTAGATTGAATGTTGGTTGACAAAGTTATTCATAAATGAGTTCATTTGAATTTTAGATAATTCAAAAAATCAAAACAGTAAGCAATCTTCATTAATCCATTCATACTTTTCTCATTCAACATCCAACTTTACTAATTCTAGTTACATTAGAATGCTGACACAAACAATTAAAAATTATCGGTTTTGAGTTTAGCCAAATTCAGATTATGAAATAATTAAAATTACGTCTAAGTCAAAATAATATTATTAAAATTGAAACGACATTTATTGTATCACCATCAAAAAGCACAGATAATTAGAATGAGAAACAAGAGGCTACTTTATAACCATTTACAAAGTCTTGCTTTCGACTTGATGATCAACTCCATAACAGAACAAATTCATTAAAATTACACTTTAAAAGCACAATTGTTGAACAATATATAAAAGTTATTAGGAAACTGAATTTGATATTCACCCAACTAAAATTCAATATTTCCTTTCCGGGCTATTAAGCAAAGGACGGCCATCTGTTGGTAAATACGCTATTATTGAATCATCTAAGATGGAAGAGAAGTCATAAGACTCAGCAACACCATGATCATGAATTGAAGGTGTTATGCTTTGATCATCCTGATTTTGCATGTAACCTTCTTTTAGCATTCGAATTCCTTCCAACTCCACAACAACTTCATTCATTGTTGGCCTTCTCTTTCCATTTAAATTCAGACATCTCTTAGCAATCTCTGCAATAGCCACAATCTCCTCTCTCTTCCCCTCTTTCAGCACCCTCGCATCAAGTATGTCGAATAGGCGATTCTCCTCCATCGAGTGCAAGAAATGTGTCGCCAAACTTTTTCCCACATCGGCCCTAATCGACGATACAGCTTTCTCCCCTGTCAAAAGCTCAACAACAACAACACCGAAGCTATAGACATCGCTCTTGTCCGTAAACTGGCTCGATTGGAAGTACTCAGGATCCAAATAACCAAATGTTCCTAGTACTCGTGTGGTTAAGTGCGTCTGATCTATACCAATCGATCTTGATGTCCCGAAATCAGCAACTTTGGCCCGATATTTATCGTCCAATAATATATTCGTGGACTTTATATCTCGATGATAAATAGGTGCAGATGCAGAAGAGTGCAAGTAAGAGAGCGCTCCCGCTACCTCTCTTGCAATGCGTATTCGCATTTCCCAAGATAAAGGGAACTCCTCGTTTGGATCGTGCACATGTTGGAAGAGTGTGCCATTGGGTATGAACTCGTAGACTAAAAGAGGAACTTCGGTCTCCAAACAACACCCCAATAGCTTGACCACATTTCTGTGGTTTATTTGTGATAGAATAACAACCTCATTGATGAACAGTTCGACATCGCCATCTTCTACCTTTATAGACTTTTTGACTGCCACAATTCTTCCATCTGTCAACATTCCTTTATACACGGTACCTTGGCCACCACGACCAAGTACACGATTTTCATTGTAACGATCAGTAGCTTGTGCCAACTCTTTAGAACTGAATAGTTTGGTCTTCTCTAGGCCGTTGTCGGTTGAAGACAACTCTTGTTGCAATAACAAACCTCCATTTCGTTTGAAGAACTTGAGTTTATGGTTAGCCTTGATTCTTCTTTTAATGTACTTCCATGCTGCGAAGAGTAAAATTAGTGCACCAAGGACACTACCACCGCTGATGACTCCTATTAGGATCACAGGTGCCCTTGTAAGCTTATGTTTAAGTTCACAATCGTAACTCCCGATTGTGTTTATGCATCTGGTATCGTCATTTATGCAAAAATTCAAATTTGGATTGATGCATTCATCAATATCAATGCATCCTCCAGATAAATATGGGTTCCCTTCATAGCCACGTAAGCAAGAACAATATTGGAGGGAAGATCCATAAACATAGCATGAACCCTGACCTAAAAGATTCGGGTTGTCGAGTTTCCACTCAAGTACCAGTGGTGCAAATTCAAATTTAGGGTCAAAAGGATTTAACATATTAATATGAAGGCCTTTATACCCATAATATTCCACTTGGAACCATTTATTTTCCACAGCAAAAGCATATCCACATGAGAAGTTATTAGTACCGACTCGATTAATGCCTTGGTAAGTATATTTAACCTCCTTGAGTCGAGGTGGGAGTGTTGTCTGACAACAGTTGACACCGTTGCAACTAGAATCTGTAGAATTAGCATCACAAATGGCCATGCATCCTGCGGCTATAGCTGTTTCGTTAGCACGAACCCAAACCAAATTCTGACAACCCAGAACGACAAATAAATTGTAATTGTCTGAGATGGTAAATGGACTTTTTTCGAGTGATCTTACCAAATAAGCAGTTTTTTGTGTTACGGAGCATTTCATTGGTGCAATGGGGTTCTTGACTGTGACAGTACCGTGCACAGAAAAATTCAGAGCTTCCATATTTATGCTGCTCAAGAATGGTACTACTACCGCGGTGGAGTTTTGGCTGATGCAGGTGATTTCGAAGGAGGAATTGAAACTGCATGAAGAACCAATGCCAAATGGATATGGAATTGTGATATTTCCGCAGTTTGATGGACAACCGGGCTTGGACCAATCTACTGCTACCACCAATGTTGTGCTAAGATATAGTGATGAAATCACTCCGAGTAGAAAGGGTATCCTCATTTCTTGAAAATAATATGTCTGCAAAATTAGTGTAAATTGATTTTGAATACTTATGATGAACATATATAACCATTACCAAATCCTTTAGATGACAATAGTGGTGCAAATTGTGGGATGTCCTAGGGGCAGTTCAATGTCTTAGCGTGTAGACAGTTACGTTGCCACTTTTTAATTTTTTTTTTAATCTTAATCACAAATTTTAAAAGAAGAATAAATGACAAATAGGCCCATGACAAGAGCACTTAATTAAAAAATGGATATCCAACTTTTTTGTCTTGCAAATAAATTCATCATTCAAACTTATTTGCAAATAATGAAAACTCTTTTATACATACCAAAATTAGCCTCAACTCCTTGAAACCCTAATTTAACTTCAATTTTATGATTTACACAAAAATTTTGTCTAATTTCACCAATTAACCATTTTTTACCATTATTCCAATTTTGACCGCCACCGCAGGAGGCCGTCGGTCTCTGCCGTTTTTTTTAAACTATTTTTTTGAAAAAAAAATTCCTGTCGGTCAACCGTTGTTGACCGCCGGTCTCCGACGTTGACCTTTTCTTTTCTTTTCTTTTCTTTTCTTTTCTTTTTTGATTTAAAAAAAAAAATTTCATTATTATTATTGTTGGCTTGCAATATTATTGTTTGAGACAGTAATTAACTGCCTCAAACAATAAATTAACTGTCTGAGTGTAATATTATTGTCTCCGACAGTAATATTACTTTTCGAGACAATAATTTTACTATATTAATTAATTAGATCGTCTCGGCCTGCAATTTTTACCGTCTCCGACCGTTATATTACTGTCTCATGCAGTAATATTACTGTTCGGGACAGTAATATAGTAATATTACTGTCTGAGACAATAATTTTTTTGTTAACACAGTAATTTGGAGAGAAAATAAAAGTTTCCACAAATAAAAAAATCAACACCAGAAACTGGCGTTGACTGAGCGAAAAGAAAATTTAGAAAAAAAATTTCCAAAAAAAAAAAAAAATCAACAGCGGTTGACCAATTCGAAAAAAAAAGTTTTTAGAAAAAAATGTTAAGAGAAAAAAGTCAACGCTTGAGAACCGACCCATTGGATCGGGTCGAAAATTTCACCCAACCCATCTATAATGCGTCGGTTGGTGGTTTCTAATATTATCAAAAGTTGGTTGGCCGATAATTACAATTCAAGAAATTAGAGTGTTAGGGTATATCAATTTAATGGGAGTCTAGATGTACGTAAGGCAAGATATTGCAATTTATCCTAAAAATAAATATTTATATGAGAGTGAGAGCCAATGAGGGATTTTAGGTTGGATTTTTAACCTAAATTAAGTCAAAATTCTCAAGGGAATTTTGTATAAATTTCAAAATTTGAGGGTCTAAGTGTAATTAGACCAAACTTCAGGGATGTTAAGTATAATTTACCTTTTTATTTTAATTGATATACCCTAACACTCTAATTTCTTGAATTGTAATTTCAAAACCTAAAACTTCTACTGTTCTACGTTACTTTTATGGGGTTGTCTAGGGTCCGAGAGGGGTTGTACTAATCGGACCCAAACGATTGAAAATCAACCAATAAAAATGTGACACGTATGATTTGTACGAATCCCATAAAAAAAGTACGATACCTACCTTATAAGTGAAATTACATAAAAACCCCTATAACTAAAACTTAAGTAACAATTAATAATAATTAATAATTAGGGCAATGACAAGGGATTTAAATGCACATTGGTCCACATAAACAACAATCTTTCAAATAAACTCATCACCATGTCTTTACTCTAAAATACACTCCATAATATATTTTTTATCAATTTCATCCATTATACTCTAACTTCCTTAATATTACACATTGACCCCGAATTTAAACAAATATATCACATTAACTCCCATTTTAATAATTTTTTGAAAAAATATTTTTTTTAGAAAATAATTTTTTTTTCCGGCCAGATTACCGGCGTTGACCGGGCAGGCGGTGTCCGGCATTGACTTTTTTTTTTTTGAAAACTTTTTTTTTTGAAAACTTTTTTTTTCTGAATTTTTTTTTCGGCCGGTCAACCTTTTTCTGAATTTTTTTTTCGGCCGGTCAACCGCAGTTGACCGCCGCTCTCCGGCGTTGACTTTTTTATTATTTCGTTTTTGAAAAAAATTTCTTAGACAAAAATATTTTAATTAATATTACTATCTTGCCTACTAAATTACTGTCTCATACAGTAATATTACTGTTTCAGACAATAATATTACTGTTTCGGACAGTAATATTATGAATATTATTTTCTCGAACCGTAATATTACTAATATTACTGTCCCAAACAGTGATATTATTGCTTGAGACAGTAATATTACGGTCGAAGACAATAATATTACAGTCGAAGACAACAATAATGCAGGCCAAGACGATAAAATTGATTAATATAGTAATATTATTGTCTCAGACAGTTAAATTACTGTTGGAGACAGTAATTTTGAGCCTAGACAGTAATATTAATTAAAATATTTTTTTTAAGAAAAAAAAATTCAAAAAAAAAATCAATTAACAGTTAAATTACTGTTGAAGACAGTAATTTAGCAGCCAAGACAATAATATTAATTAAAATATTTTTTTTAAGAAAAAAAAAATCAATTAACAGTTAAATTACTGTCTCCGGCAGTTAAATAACTATGGAGACAGTAATTTAGCAGTCAAGATAGTAATATTAATTAATATATTTTTTTAAGAAAAAAAAGGTTAATTAACATTAAATTACTCTCTCCAACAGTTAAATAACTGTTGGAGACAGTAATTTAACAGTCAATATATTAATATTAGTTATAATAGTTTTTTTTAGAAAAAACAAAATTTAAAAAAAAAAAATAATCAAAGCCGGAGACCATGCGATTGAGCTACCGGAAAAAAATTTCAGACAAAAAAAAAGTTTTGAAAAAAAAAAAAGAGTCAACGCCGGAGACCGTGGGTCTCTGGCGGTCTCCGGTGGTGGCGAGTCAAAATTGGGGTCAAAATTGAAATTATGGTCAAAAATTGGTTAATTGGTGAAATTGGGCAAAATTAGTTAGTCGAGGTATGATCGTAGAATTTTTTTTTATTTGGGGGGTATAGAGCAAAAATGACCAAAGTTAGGGGCAAAGTACAGTTAACCCTACTTTTAATTATCTGGTTTAATAATGTAAGGTTAATAAAGTAATTTTACATGAAGTACGATGGAGTACGACCTTTGTACGATCTATTTTTACTGGGTTCGTACTTTAATTTATAAATTCATAGGTTCGTACTGGATCGTACTAGTTCGTACTTTAAATCAACGACTATAAATTTTTACTAAATATTTTCTACGCACCAGATTAAATCGTTTGGGTCCGAGTAGTACAACCCCTCTCGGACCCTAGACAACCCCTACTTTTATATGAATTCAAAGAAAAGTTATTTTATTACATAATATTCTACAAAAAAAATATTTTCATCACTCTTACATCCCGGAGGGAAAAGTAAGAGTGATGAGCTTTTCAAACCAATGGACTATCTTGTTTATTAGTTTCTCGAATTTCATTTTCTCGATCGAAAAAAAAAAAAAAAAAAATTTCTCGATCGAGCAGTGAATCATGCATCTATAGATTCAGAAGCACAAAAGAAAAAAATGACAACATAATGAACTTAAACCCTTCAATACTTTTATAAAAAGAAAAAAAAAAATCTAAAATCTTTCCAAAATTCTCCTAAAGTTTGCAAATGATTTTTTTTTTTTAATTTGAAGTTCTCACACATTTGTACTGTTTTTATGTGTATACTATTGAAAAAATAAAAATAAAATCAATTTGCTATAATCAATCTTATGAAAAGTTAAGCGTTTTCATAATTTTGGGCGTAAGGTAACCTAGTTGGTGGAGTAAGAGAGTGCATAAGTAAATGACACGAGTTTGAATTCTATTATCAATTGTTTTAGGCAGAACTTGTCACAATCTTATATCTAATGTACTTTACATATCTCCCATGATTTGCAAGTTAGAGTTTACCAATAACACTAGTACAATTTTTGCCAATTAGATTTTAATTTCTCAAAATAGAATATAAATAACGGCTAAATTTTACGATCATTTTTAAATATTTGTAGTATATGTCTTTAAATAACTCCTAAGAATAAATTTTAAAATTCCCCAAAAAATTGTTTTACATAAAACTTGATTTTGAGATTATAAATGCTTTCCAACCGCAAGTCATATATACATGAAATTTCATAGGACATAATTACGGCTATTTACTGGCTAGTCATATAGAAATTTAATTGAAAAATGTTGAAATGTATATGAATCTATACACGTGTATTGTAAAATAGCGTCGGTGAAGTTCACCGGTTATAGCAGCATTAAACAAGAGTTCGAGTAGTACTAGGCTACTAGATTCTAATAACCTAAATGATGATTTAAATTCCAATATCACGGCAAAGAATGTTTGCTACTTACCTTCATCGTAGTTAATTCAATGAATGAGTAGTCAAAGTCGCAGCTGAAGACATTCCGACTCGGGATAAATGAGCTTCAAGCTAATATGGAAGATGATCAAAGGAGAGAGACTATGCAATTTTAAAGTTGCTTGAAATAATATATTGTGTCCTTTCTATCTCAAATGGTGTATATATCTTACTTCTTTAACACAAGACTTGAAGAAGAAGAAAAAGAAGAATAATGAAAAAAATACAGCTTTCATCCCTCATGTTTACTGATTTCACATTTAGTCCTCATGTTCATGATGAAAGACCACATTTGGTTCCTTATGTTTCAAAAATTCAACATTTTAAGTCATTTCGGTCAATTTTCAGTTAAAACTAACATAATCAAACGCGTGTCCATCACTATCCTAACTGACGGACTAACAGTAAATTGACGAATATGACAAAAAATATCAAATTATTAAAATATGAGGGACCAAATGTATTTTTATAAACATGGAGGGCCAAATTTAAAATTGTTGCAAACTTCATAAACGAAAAATGTAAATTTTCCCAAGAATAATAAACAAACCATCGAAAAAAGTCGCATCTATTTTTAAGTTTAGAAAATTTGAAATGTCGCAGTCATTTGAATTTTATAAGAATTGAATTTGCAGTTTTACAAGATAAAATAAACCCATTAAGGGCTGGTTTACTTCATAAATAAATGGTATGACTCAGTTACCTACAAAATTTTATTGATTTTATATATACTTTAATAAAATGGTATGACTCAGTTATGTATGGAATTTATGATTGCGTGAAAGATATTCATATGTCACTTTCATATTAAGAAAATTATAAAATGATCTTAATTTGCGATAAATATTTGAAAAATTTACCCATTTGTGTCTATTCATTTTCTCTCTGTCACTCCATGAATTTTGGGAGTTGGGATAAAATTGGAAAGAAAAAAAAAATTGTTCGGCTTTAAAATTCTAAAATAACACTTGATATGAGAAAAAAATATATGGACAAAGCGACATTTAATATGAAACGAAGATAGCATATGTATGCGTTGGTGGACTAAATTACAGGTCTTATAACCAACACGCAGCAACTTAATTATTAGTTGGGGAATTTTGAGATATCCCTCACAATAAATGTTTTGACCTTTTTTTTTCTTTTTCTTTTTGCTGTTTCAATTTTGACATAACCCACCAAATTTCTCAAAATTACTCCACAAACTTTTGGAGATAACATCTCTGGATATCAGTTGCGAAGTCAGAATTCATATAAGGGACTAAAAGATGAATAGGGATTTGGGGCAGTGACCCGAATTTTTGTTAGGTATACTAACTGAAAATAAAATAATATAAAAATAAGCAAATAATTTATTTGCATTTAACAAGAATTCCCTGATTTAAAAGGGTATGTCCATCAAAATTTAGTTCTTTCTATAAATAGGGGTACAAAACTCAATTCCAGATAATTAATCATCACCAAGAAAATACTGACTTGCTAAATAGTATATAAGAAAATATTTTGAGAGACAATGGAGATTATATTTAGAAAATAGTCAGACTAGTGTTACAATTATAAAATTGGTACTCTTTGATTTGTGATAACCCATTTGAATTATTTTTCCTAATAAAGAGAGTCTACTCACATTTTCATTATTTGGGATATATATGACCCTTTTTTTTTCCAAATTTATCATTCCCACTATTTATTACCGGTTACCGAGATGCTACACCGATCATATACACCATGTTATTTTAATTATTGATGTGATTAAATAACCATCCATCGAGCAAACATACACATAGATGTGAGTGTGATTATGTGCAGATCACACGTATACCTGGATGTGTGTGATTATGTGTAGCATTAAATACAGTCAGTATAATTAAATATTTATAGATTTCGATTCAAAATAGTATAAACATCAGAATACTACAACCTATATATAAACATTAAAAATACAAAGGAATATGGGAACAACGAAATTCTTGAAAAACAATTTAGAAAAATTGGGGTAAAGATCAACCCCAGTACATAATAAAATTATAACAAGACAGTTTGACGATATCGAAAATTAAATAATTAAGTTGCAGGTTACATGAAACTAGAACCATATAATAGATAAAAGATGAGAGATAACTATATTATATATGTATTCTTCACGGCTCGTCAAGCAATGGACGATCATCATTCGGTAAATATGCAGTTACTGAATCATCCAAATGCATGCTCGTTGAGATTGACGAAAAATCATAAGACTCGGCAACTTGATCACGAATTGAAGGTACATACTCTATGTTGCCTTCTTCATTTTGCATGTAAACTGTTGAATCTTCTTTCATCATTTGAATTCCTTCCAACTCCACAGCAACTTCCTTCATAGCCGGCCTTCTCTTTCCATTCAAATTCAGACATCTCTTAGCAATCTCTGCAATCGCCACAATCTCCTCTCTCTTCCCCTCTTTCATCACCCTCGCATCAAGTATGTCGAATAGGCGATTCTCCTCCATCGAGTGCAAGAAATGTGTCGCCAAGCTCCTCCCCACATCGGCTCTAATAGAAGAGATGGCTTTCTCCCCCGTCAAAAGCTCCACGACAACAACACCGAAGCTGTAAACATCGCTCTTGTCTGTAAACTGGCTCGATTGGAAGTACTCTGGATCCAAGTAACCGAATGTTCCTAGTACTTGTGTTGTCAAGTGTGTCTGATCGATACCGATCGATCTTGATGTCCCGAAATCGGCAACTTTGACACGATATTTATCGTCCAATAATATATTCGTCGACTTGATATCCCTGTGATAAATAGGTGTAGAAGCAGAAGAGTGCAAGTACGAGAGCGCCCCCGCCACTTCTCTTGCAATACGCACTTGCATTTCCCAAGATAAAGGGAAGTCCTCGTTTGGATCGTGGACGTGTTGGAAGAGTGTGCCGTTGGGTATGAACTCGTAGACTAAAAGTGGAACTTCGGTCTCCAAACAACACCCCAATAGTTTGACCACATTCCTATGGTTTATCTGCGATAGAATAACAACTTCGTTAATGAACACTTCGAGATCGCCTTCTTCTAACTTCATGGACTTTTTGACAGCCACAATTCTTCCATCAGTCAACATTCCTTTGTAGACGGTACCTTGCCCACCACGACCGAGTACACGATTTTCATTGTAACGATCGGTTGCTTGTGCCAACTCCTTGGAACTGAACAACTTTGTCTTCTCTAGGCCGTTCTCCGCTAAAGATAACTGTTGTTGCAATAACAAACCTCCGTTCCGCTTGAAAAACTTACGTTTGCGGTTAGCCTTGATTCTTTTTCTGACGACTCTGATAGATTTCCATGCTCCGAAGAGCAAAATTAGTGCACCGAGCGCGCTGCCAACACTGATGAATGCTATTTTGACTCGAGATCTATTATTACCATCTCCATAATAATTGTCATAGTTACATGTGTAACTCCCTTCTAAGTTGTGACAAGTTCCATTTAAACATCGAGTCAATGTTGCATTAATGCTACATTCATCAATATCACTGCATCCTGATAGTGTATATGGGTTCCCTTCATACCCATATCCGCAATAGCAATATTGGATAGAAGATATGTAAGCAAGCTTTGAAAATGTCGGGTTTAACGAAAAAACGTCGTAATTTCTGCTGATACTGGAGAATCTGCAAGAACCTTGATAAAGATAAGATTCCGGGTTCTCGAGTTCCCACTCAAGCACCAGTGGTGCATATCCAAAATTCTGGTCATAAGGATTTAACAGATTACTCTGAAGGCCCTTATACCTTTTGTATTCATTTACGAACCATTTCTTTTCGACAGGGAAAGCATACCCGCACGTGACATTGTGAATACCGGATCGAATGCCTTGGTACGTATATTTGAGCTCATGTAGCCGAGATGGGATTATTGTCTGGCAGCAGTTGACACCATTGCAACTGGTGTCTGTAGAATTGGCATCACATATGGCCATGCATCCACCAACCGTGGTTGTTGCGTTAGCACGCAGCCACACCGAATTCTGACACCCCAAAACAGCCAACGAATTGTATTGGCCCGAGATGGTGAATGGGGTTTTTTCCAGTGATCTAACCAAGTGGCGCGTTTCTTGCGTATCGGAGCATTTCATTGGTGTAACCGGATTCTTCACTGTGACGGTACCATGCACGGAAAGATCGAGCGCTTCCATACTTATGATGTTCAAGAATGGTACTACTACCCCGGTCGAGTTTTGTTGGCTGGTGCAGTTGATTTCGAAGGACGAATTGAAACTGCACGAAGGGCCAATACCGAAAGGATACGGAATTGTGACGTTTCCACACGTTGATGGACAATTAGGCTTGGACCAAGATACCGCTAGCGCCATAGTTGTGGCGAGATAGAGTGATGAAATCACCCCGAGTATAAAGGGTAAACTCATTTCGTTGTTAGCCACACTTTCTTCCTGAAAATGATCGAAATTAACTTAGAATCCATATGAATTACATAAACATCTCAAATAGCAACATGTTTATGAAGAAATTAAAAGGACAAAACAAATGGAGTTTACACATAATATATGCAATATTTTAGGAGGATTTAGCAAAATACTCTTTCAAGGCTATTCATAATTAAAACAATACTACACAATCAAATATTACCCCTAATTCCAATTAATTCACTACCTATTTAAAAAAAAAAATGCTCTTCCGATCCAGATCAAGACACCACATGTATTGTTAAGTCGTCAGGCTAATTAATGGTATTGACTTCTCTCATGAGGCCTTAAATTAAGTTTAGAACAAATATTTTGGTTAATAAAACTATAATTTCCTGATTAGTTCTTGAAAAATTAAATTGTTAAGCCTATCTTATGATTAACTTGTACAGTTTGATAAGATAAGCTGCAGGGGATCACATGCTCAATATTAAACAGAAGATCACAAGTAGACTTTATATACTCTAGTAACCAAAGTCATAATTTTCAGTGTATAAAAAACATATATATATTTACGTACCTGTTGTGGTATGTAATTTAGACTTCCGAATCTGGAAAATGGTGTGAGATAATATGGAATATTTGAGGGATTAAGTTATAATTGAAGAGAGTAGAATCTCAAATTATACTAATAATGTGGTTGAAGTGGAACAGAATTTTGGAGTATGCTTCTGCTTTATTTCCATCTTGACTAAAATGGCGTCTTACTTTTCAACACGTAATATGTGGAAAATAATTATTATAATAGTACCCAGAAGAAAAGTCTTAGTTTCAAGTCAATTGAAAAGATGTCAAGGACTAAAAACTATTGAGAAGTCGAAGGCCGACAACACCAAAGAAGAAAAGGGTAGATTACGAGAAACTCCCTGAGGTAAGGCATTATATTATAATCAAAATCTCCCTATCTTTGATAATTACGAAAATCCTCCTCAGATTAGTTTTTGGGAGTTTAAATTCACAGAAAATGTGTTTCTTCTGTTTTGCCGCTTCAGTTATTCGAAATTAGGGGTGTGAACTAGCCAAGCTCGCCTTTTATGGCAGGCTGCAATGGCGGAACTTAAGAGGGGCAGGGGGGGCTGTTGCCCCCCCAAGAAAAAAAAAAATTTTTTTTTTTTGCTATTTTGGCATAATATTTTTTGAATATTAAATTTGCCCCCCCAAAGGTTTTGTAAATATATGTGTCTTTACCCTTAATTTTTTTGTTTATTCTCCATAATTTTATATAAATTATAGATATATATCATATTTAATATAGAAATATAAAATAAAATGGTTAAAACTTGAACTATTTTAAATAAAATGACGGAATATATTTATTTATCGATCTTTGATTTTCTATATTAAAGTGTCTAAAAAATAATACGAGACGGCGCCATGAATCCCCTTAAGTGCAATATATTATTCGAATAATTGAGATGTTTTTTCACGCGTGAAATATGATATATATATATATATATATATATATATATATATATATATATATATATATAAAATTCGTAGTATAAACCTATTTTTTCAATGTCTTGTGAACCTAAAATTTTTTTCGGGGCGCTACCCCGAACCCCGAAATTTTGCCCCCCCTACTTTCTAATCCTGGCTCCGCCCCTGGCAGGCTGGAACTCGAGTCAATTTTATCGAGCTCGAGCCCAAACTCATTTTTTGCGTTTATTATTAAAAAATATTTAGAGTATAATAAAAAAACTTACAAAATAAAAATTGAACTGTAATTATATATATTTTTAATATTTATTTGTTCGTTTTAATATTATTTTTGTATATTTTATATTATTATACATTATTTAAATAAATAAAAAAAATATATATATATATATATATATATATATATGATGATGCTTAATACTTAGATCACCTGGGTAGTGTAGAAAATGAACTGGGAGAGCAAAGCAGATCAGTAGCTTGACAACTTGATGATCCTGAGGTACCTGCGATCATAGAACACATGAACTAAGCCGGGGGTTGATCCGGCGGAAACCCCTCCGACGCTCAAGTCGGACGTGCTGATAGTAGAAATAGTCCAGAGAATACGTATTGTAGTATTGCTCAGTTAATAGGCCGTACCTTGAGGAATGAGTTCAAACCTTTATTTATAGCTTAGATGAGATTGTTGGGCCCAAACCTTATTTGAAGGTGATTGGGCCTCGGTGATAATAGTCTTAGATAATGGGCTCGTGGCCCAATAGGTAAAGAGATTGTAGGCCCATTGGGCTGGCCCAATTAGGCATATCAATATATATATATGGCTTGCGAGCATGTTCGTGAGCTCACGAACAACTAAAAAAAGCTCGAGCTCGAAAAACTTGAATTCGATTTTGAGTTTTTTTCGAGCCGGTTCATCGAGCTCACTGAGTCGACTAAACTTGTTTACCACCCTTATTTAGAAATCCCTTTGAGGTATGCTGATGTTTTACACAGTCCCCCGACTGTATTAATTTTTTACGGAGAAAAAAATAATACATTGACAATTACCCAATATCTTTTGGAAGAAAGAAGTAACATGGAAATCATAATTCTATTTCCTTGTCCGAGTTACGCTTCACTCGTTTGTTTAAAACTAGGGATTATTAGCAAGACCCCCTCATGTAGGAAATGTAGTTAAGCAAAATCCTCTTCAAAAAATAATTAAAGAAAACCCCCTTGATCAGTATTCCATCAAGTATTATTTTTATAATTCCAAATCTACCCTTAATTGTCAATATACTATTTTGAAACCTTAGGGGTTGTTTGGTTATG